ATCAGCACACTTCCTTTTACAGGTCCCCCTCTCTCTTCCTCTGTTTTCACAACCAGGCAGAATAAGGCCAGGTTGTTCATCCTGACAATGAAAGAAAAACCTAATTGACTCTTCCGCTCCTGTTCCTCATCCCTCCAGCTTGTCTACAATGAGCCTTGAGGCTCTTTTTAGCCTGAAGCCATCCTTCTGTCAAGGGACATTATTCTCTTTTGGTCACAGCTTAAGAGGCTAGGTTTCTTCTAGGCAGGTAAAACTGGGCTGACAGTTTGAGAGAAAGCAGCTTTGATCTCCACTGTCTTCACGTTGCAGAACCAAGATGACAGGCAAGGGAGTCTTAGGAGCACTTTATTCCACCAAAGGTGCTGGAGAGAAAACACTCAGGCTTGTAAAAATGCCTGCAAATCTTGGCTCTCACATTCACTGAAGCCCAAACAATACCTAAGCTGGCCCCTTGCGAGTCCCCTATAGTGTCTTCCAGAGACTAAGGGAGCCTCATTTCTCACTGGTGATGTGCCCTGTGTTAGAGGCTCCATATGGAGGTGGTGTTTTATCATACTCTTGCCTGCCCCCATTAAATATCTATTTTTACCTTAGCAGTCAACCATGGCCTCCTATGATACACAAAACACCTACGGTGAAGCACCACCTATAAGAAATAACAGTAGAATATACGCTCCAGGTGTGGTCGATATAACCTATAAAAAAACATTGCAAACATTAATTGAAGGTACATTTGTAGTTACAAGTAGTACATTTTCATTTTACACTATATCATTTTATAAGAAATGATAGAGCTCAACAACAAAAAGCTGCAAGGGATGGACACAATAACACATTACATTATATGTACAATATAATACAAAAGCACCATTTTATTGCCTCTAAAACTGCCTGTGTTGCCTCAGTGCCTCACAGACAATAAAATCTGAATGTTTAAAGTAGGCTATTGTGTTGGATTTGCATTATATTGTGCAGGTGTTCCTGTAATTGTGTCCACCTGGATCTATCATAATGTCTGAGACAGATGTGACCTCTACATGTTCAGACAGCTGTGGATTGCGGTGCTTCTTGCAGCCATAGCACATGACAGTAAGATTTTATAAATGAATAGAAATAGTACCTGAAGCTAACCTTACTCACATGACACAGGAAGCAAACTCACTCGCAAATTTCAAAATAAGAGAGAACACAGATGCTGATGGTCCACTCCAATTTACTTGCTTTGATTTGTTTTGTTCTTTCTAAAATAAATTATTTTTACATTTTACACGACCAAAATACATATGAAAATAATCTTTATTGATGTCTCGATAAAGCAATAGAGAAGGATTCATGGAAAGTAGTGGCGGCAATCTTTAACCACTGCATTTGGCTGCAGACAGTGCCAAAATGCAAACATTACCAAGTGCAGCAAACTTATAGAATCCAATAAAAACAAACATAAATGCTGCATGCAGTTTAAATGTGCTGAATTGTGCAGAATTTCATTATGACTCCAGGCTTTCATGTGGTAGTAAATTATATGACAAAAACGAAAAGATCAACTATATCTATAGTGTCGTTTTATGTTCACTGACAGGGTACATACTTCAGCCCCTATCCATTTTATGTTACTAGTCAACTGACATTGAGTGTTGACATCAGCAAAAGTGGAAGGATGTAAATACAGACAGGAACCCTGGTGAGTGTGTTGCATTTAGATCTGTTATTATGATTGTCTTGTTTCATTCTTTATCACATCACGTCAACTTGTTACATTTCCACTTTTTTATGAGTAATGACGTGTGATACAGGCTCATAGTATCTAGAAATCCTCAAGTGCATAGGTGAAGTTTTCCACGTTTGGTGCAGCTCTGAAGTCTGCAGACTCTCGGTAATGTGACAGTGCAGCCCAAAGCACTCCATCCTTACCCTTGCACAGAGGGAATAGGGAAAAGGGGAAAGAGAGGATAGGTAAACAGAGCCATTAGAGACAAATCTATTTCTGAAGAAAACAAAATCACATCATCAAACAAGAGAAAAAGAAAAATATGATCCTGCAGCCCTTTGGGCCCTGGCGTAGCGATGATAGCCGACTATGGCATTTGTCTTTATCAGTCTGCCTTGAGGGAGGGAGAGCGTGGTGGGAAGGTGTGAGAATAAAAAGAGAATGAGAAAGACAATGGAAACAAAGAGCACCCTGTCTTCTTTACACATCACAAAGAGCTAGACACATTTGTTACTTTTCTGACTTCATGAGATGTGAACAGCTCGCGTATTACTATTCCTCTTTCATGCATGTTTTGCGGTTTTTGCTGTTAGTGTTAAGTGGCTCTCAGATGGTCATTCTTTAAATATAACAGAGTGAAGGGCTCGGTGGACAGCGAGCCACAGCATCATCAGTCATGACTAGCCTGGGGAGGCATACGCAGCTTCATCAAAATGACAAGATTGACTTTCCAGATTTTATCCTTTCTCTGTGACATTTGGTTGTTTATCCTGCTTTGCAGTAGCAGTACCAGAGAGTCTTTATGTGCCTTGTGTATCAAGAGACTCTCTTGAAATAGATATATATGGTTAAACAGACTATGGTGACCTTTAAAATGAAATTGTAATAATTAGGGCCTACATGTGTAGTGTGTAAAATGTGTATGACTTCCTCAGCAACACTTGCCTCTATAGTATATTGGAGGTAGTGACTTTTTTTAATGGGGACATGTTGTGCAAAATTCACTTTTTACATACTTGTACACATACATTTGGGTATTTGGGTGGCCTACCAACCCAAAAACTGTGAAATAAATTAACACAGCCTTTTTATTTGTGGGCTGCCTATGTGAGAAGACCTGAGATTCAACGAGCTGTTCAGATGTTGCTCCTCTTCCTACGTAAGAAGCTGATTCAGTTGCATTGTACCTGCCCCCCTCTGA